TGTGAGAGATCTATATATCAGTAAAAAATGTTGAGAACTTTCACTGTTAGGGAAACTAATATAATATTGGGATGAACGTGATCAAATGGAGTGATATGGTATATGGATATTGAGGATTCACATAACCGATCCGAACTTGCTTTATAATTGTTGTTTTCATGTAACTCTTCACAAAAGGCACGATTGTACTGCCCGAAGAGCGATATAGCCTTATGTATATCATTACATGTAACTTTAGTTGCTCAAGACTTGTTCAAGGATTTTAGCCCCCACCGCCACCTCAATATTTTATGTGCGGATACTCGAACTGTAGATAATAGTGATTCATAATTAGAAAGTAGTTTGTGTTTTTTCACTATTAGGTAAAGTAAGATTTCATTCAGTATGCATCTCCTGGACGCATTTGAGTACACCAAAAGAAGTTTGCTCCTGGACATTCTTTTGACTTTTATCTAAATACTCACAGAGCTAACAAAATCCAAAAACAAAAGGAAGTTAATTATGTTGCAAAGATTACACCAAGTAAAAAGATTGATTAAGCATGCACTTTAGAACATGTACTGGAGTTGCAGATTAGGTTATACAGTAGCTTCATGAGTTGTCAAATTCAATATTCTTACCTCTGTGAAAAGTTATTGGAATGAGATCTCATGCTATTTTTCGTATTGCGTTTTTCGCATACATTCTTTTTCAATGATGCTAAGTGTATAGGTTAACTTAGAGCCCTTTTAGAGATCACACGGATCTAATTTGTGCACACTATGATGTTTCTAGCCGAGTTATTAGCTTCTGGAACTTTACAAATGCTTAAACTAATAGCTGCTTCTGTTAATGAAATTTACTTACTTAAAAAGACAAATGGCTGCTTCCGCAAATGTATTACAACTATGTTTCAAGGTTTCCATATCTGAGCTTCTAATGTTTGCGGGACATCACATTTCTGTCATTCTCTCTTTTAGACTTTCTTCAAGGATTACATGGGAGTTCCATTGGTGATGGAGCCAAACTTCACTGATTATAGCTGTCAGGTAACTGTTTTCACTGTCCAAGTGATGGCTATTGTAAAAAGCACATTTCTTTCATGCATCCTAAGCATATTATTGGTAACACAACCAGACCATGTGGAGGTTTTAACGAAACTCAAGATTGAGACCAAAATGTTAAGCAGCAATCCACCCCCCACC